CTTAATTGACAATGACATTTTTGTTGCTACAGTTAAATAGTACAAGTTTCCTACTGACTCATTTCTCCCATATCATGGATATTTACCTTCTGTACCACAGAATATCTTGATTTCCACAATGGCGATCTCTAGGAGTGAACGATGATCACTGTGCTATGGGAACAAAATAAGCTTAATAAAAACAGTTGTGTTGTGTTGGTCCAATAATGTTTCCTAAAAATATGCAACCATCGCGTACAATCTATAATCTTGAAAGAAAGTCCACTTTGGGGGCGTCGGTTTTAAGTATTTTCATAACTACAGTAATGTCAGGACACTATTTTAATTGGAAAGCTTTTAGTAAATGAAGGATCGCGATTTAAATCAAATAGTCGAACTCACATTTCATACTGGCAATTTAAACCACTAATTTAAATCAATTTATTCCATTTATGTAGTCAGTTGCTCCAATTATCAGAACACAAGTGCTTTCCAGATCTGAGAACATCATAAGTTTGATAGCAGTGAAATATCAGCTCTGAAGTAGATGATCATACTTGCTGAATCCATGTTCAATAAATAATAAAATTAAATCATAAATCCAAATAATAATTTTCTAAAAGACAGGCACTGAGATGGCACTTCTCCATCTTTACAATACAAAATATTCCTGCTTAAAGAATTAATTGGGGGGGGGGGCAGAAGGAAGGGAGGGAGGGAGGGAGAGAGAGACATAGAGAGAGAGAAAGAGAGAGAGATGACCAAATGTAAAAGAATTGGGAAATTATTTTAATTCAAAATGACCCAATGGAAAGCCTTACATTACAAAAGGAAAAGCAAAATATATTATGAAATTGCTAACATGGAGAGAGCTGCGTGGAAGACAGAACAGGAGACAAAATTGTACGTTATCCTTCCCACGGTGACAGTTGTGACTTGACCTGATCCAACCAGGCTGAGGTCTCAAATTCTCTTGGTTCACTGTAGCAACCTGACAAGCATGTGGTGGCACCACTGAGGAAGCCTCCATCTCAAGTCCTACAGGACTGAAACGAACAGAAGCTTGCTGGAGCAGAAAAATGACCTATTTTCTTCAAGAGAACTTTCAAAGCTTCAGGCAGACCACCGGTTCCCTGATAAACAAGATTAGCACATTAGGAATCTGATCTCCTTACACACTTCCCTTCCCTTCTGTTCTTAGCCGTAACCAAAGCTTAGCATTACGTCTATACTACTGCTAAGTGTGGTTAATCATAAGCCAAGATTCAGCTCTTAACTAGAATCTGAAATAGGGTTGGGAGCCTGTTTTGCATTAGTATAATAAGGCCTTAATGGGGGAAGGAATTGGGAATTTTCTGGGAAGTGTATGTTTTTGTCGGTGTAAGCCACAATTTGTAGGGACTAAAGTTACTCCCGCATTGGGGTCTTTTCCCTTGTGTTATATAAAAGTATTGAATATTAACAATTATTTGGCTACTATATTTTCATGCTGTCCTCAGAAGGACAAAGTTTTTCATTGCATGAGTAATGACTTAAGGAAAGGGAGAGAGAGAGAGAGAGAGAGAGAGAAAGAGAACAAATTGCAATCCAAACAGAAGCCTTTGGAACAAACAAATATGGTATCCAATATTGTAAATAGATTAGAAATATGATAATTAAATAATCTAGAAAAACACACTCTGCTGTACATCTATAAACATAAATATTTACAAAAAAAAACTCTAGCTGTTTTCAAAAGAATGAGGTTTGTGGTTTCCTAACGATCATCAGCTTGTCCATTTCTTTGGTGTGCTTGCCAATCTCTGTTCATTAAGAGTTGACAAACATACAAGAAGAGATAACAGGCCCAGCACAGATGCTCATTTTTTTTTTCTTCCTTATTTTAAGCCCAAACATTTAACAGAAAATTCCCATAATTTTCTTTTTATAAATTATTATACACCTCTTCAAATTGTCAGTCTAGTAAGTTGGATCAAATAAGTTAAAATCTACTGTTTCGTAACCCTTCATCCAGTTGAGTTTTTACAGAGGTATGCATGTATAGGGTACATTCTGTCTTCTTAGCCTCAAATTAGCACAGTACATATGCTGTGGAATTCCCTGAACATTAAAACTAAAGAGGGAGGGCGACTACCCAGTTATTAAATAACTCAAGTGCTTAATTTTCTATACAACTGGGACCCAAAGTTCAACCTTCCCTCTTTGCCTTAAACTTTCCAACACAGTTTCACAGACAGGAAGGCATGCAGAGTGGGTATCTAGGACTTTTCGACCGATAACTCAATAGGTACTTCATAAAAATGAGTTAAGGATTAAAACATGGGGAGAAACCAAAACGTAAACCTCCAACAAATAAATAAAAAAAGGAGATATATATTCCATTAAATAGCTCTTTTGCTATCAGCATGGCATTTATATATTTTCTGAAAGTCACAGCAGCAAGACAGAATTAGAAGTCATCTTATAATGGATCTCGGCATCCATAGAGATAACTAGGATGGCCAAGAATGCAATAATAGATCAAGCGAACTGATTCAGACCTGCAAATCTGTTGTGCCAGTCCACAACTTACTTCCTCTGGATTGGACCTGGATTGAAAGTACCTAAAAATTGTAAGAGATTGGCCACTGGGGGGAGGGTTAAACATTTCTCAGAAGACTGGAACGTAACAATGCTATTTGCTGATGTGAAGATGGGTATCTTATTGCCTATAGCGCTGCATTTACATCTAGTATATCAAATGCACGCTTGACTTGGCTACGGTACAACTTAAAAAGGAAAAAATAAATTAACAGGCCATTTCAAGCAATTGCTGCACTTACCTCTAGCAAACAGTGAAGTATGTAAGGGAGGGAAAGTGCTGTTAGCCTGTTACCTTATATACTGAGCCCTCAGCTTCTTGCTTGCTTTTATAAAGCCAAGGCTAAATTGGGAGCAACAATTCCCTTGCTTATCACTGTTTCTTAAAAACCCACTAAAAGCAAGAAGAAAGATCTTTATCTGAAGGGATGCAGTGCTGCTCTTGTGAACTACGGATTATATGGCAAAACTGATACATGGGGTGAAGGGCACACGTGTCTGCCTGAAAACTTTGAAACACTCAAGCATGAGAACCAGCAGGGTTTCTGCAACACAATCCAAGCTAAATCTGGGCTAAAGTCCAAACGCTCCACGTTTCGAGATCAATAGATGTTGATAGAGGACCATCAGAATCCCGTTTCTGTAACGATCTCAATTCCCGTAAAATAAGAGACGCATCTAAGACATCCGCGGTAGCCGATATTGAGAACTCAGCTGTCATCAAGGATTCGTTTCAAGCTACCAAGAAATTGGCTGTAGCGATATTAAGGAATTGCTTTCCTAGCAGGGAGAATGTGGTCTTCAGAAAGAGCACAGCGGTGATGTTAGCTGTGTACTGAATATATAGTCAACCACTTGAGGTTCAACCTACCTACGAAAAGTGAAATATACGCACAGAGTTCACAGGCTGACTATGAACTGAGTTCTACAGACCTTCCGGTTGATGGTCCAGAGATCAGTGCAGGTATAATTCACATTTGCAGGTATTTTGAATTGTGAATGATTTTCACATGGCCTGAATAAGCTAAGGAGAAGTTTGCAATAGCCCGAGGCTCTGTTTAGTGTCAAAGCAGCTGGAAGTATGTCAGAGAAACAAATTATGGACCCTGTTTAAAAAAAAAAATTAAAAACAAACTGCTAGCTCGGATTGTGATCTGAGAAAACCATAAATTAGCCTGTTGTATGAAAAAAAAAACACAAAAATGACAGCTCAAATGTGAGCTGCGGTATTTGAAACTGGATGTCTTTGAAACGAAGGTGGGGATAACAAACACACAAACCCCCCCAAAAAGAAAACCCCTTATAAAGCAGCAATTCCAATAGTAACAAACATCACACTGAGGTCAGGATAGGAATGTGTGAAAGTCACATGTGTGATAAAGGAAATAAAAAAATAAGACAGATAGATTATATTGCACTTGAGGCACTATATGGAAACAGGATATGTCAGCTTGGAAATTAAATTTGTTTTCGGTTAATGCTTTTGTAACGCACAGAGACCCAAAAGGTATCTGAGCAGTGTAAAACCTAATTAAAAACAGCAGTCCACTCATACTGGCATGAAAGGAAGGGTAAGAAGTACAATAATTATGCAAAAGATCTAACTTGAATATTATTATTTTTTAAAAAAAATGAAGGTGGCAATGTTTTCAACACTCTACTTACATGCCTGAGCCATGATTTTGAAAATAAAAAAACAAGAAACAACCCCCCTGTGGGCAGAAAATTACGTCCATGTGGAATCCAATCAATTGTCAGCACTAATGAAGCGTAAAATGGGTGCCATATTGGTCTTCTGTGTGTGTGTGTCTGTGTTTGTGTGTGTGTGTGTGTGGAAATAGTGCTAGAGGGCTTAATCCACCAATCAGTGCTGCTACAGAAACTGTTCTTTGCAGCAGGATCTGCCTAGGGTTCTCTACCAATAAGAGAAATACAATCACAATACCACATAGATGGTGCTCTTAAGCCTGATCCTTATTTGGTTTAGAATTCATTCAGCACTTTGCAAATATTACACATGCTATACAGGGATGGGGAAGACTTCCTTTGAACAAGCAATGTTCCTTCTTCATTCTTAAAAGTGATGCTAAAACAAAAACAAAAAACCACGCCCCCCCCTGCAAAATAAAACCCAACTCCCTATTTGTAACGTTGTATACAAAGCTTGAATCTCGTAAACTTGGACCAAGAATTCAAAACAAAACAAAAAAAAACCCCCAAAATTAAGACCTTTTAGCATTTGGTATAAAACAGGCCCCTCCACCCACCCGCCTGCCCCACCCAAAAGGAATTGTATACCTGCCTTCTGACTTCTCGGGGGGAGAAAAAAAAAAACAAAAAATCAGAAATTGCATAGGATATACGTTGTGCAAGGTGACCAGCCTTTGAAAGGTATCTGGAATACAAACTAATCCTGCTTATTGTCCAAATCTTGCAAATGGTCAGATATCATCAAATTTGTGTTTTAAGTAGTCTTTCATGACCTTGGCAATTGGTAGTTCGTCAAGAAGTCTGAGGTTTTGAAGGCCTATACACTGGCGGATTTTAATTCGACAGAGATCCTGCAAGTTCCGAGGCTGCCCTAAAAAAAGAGACACAAGCATTAATAAGTCATTGCCAGGCTGTGGATTAAAAAAAAAAAAAGAGTATTTGGAAAAAAACAGACAAGAAGCTGCCAAACAGTAGGACAGTTGCCCCAAAACTGTAAAACAGAACAGTTAGGGGTTTTTTTTATAGATAAGATAACCTTTATTGTCATTTTTTTTTACTGTGGGCACAACGGCACACATCAAAAATGAAATTTAATTGCCCGCTCTCAAAGTGAAACACGTACATGACACACAGCTAAACATACTATGTACAACATATGTATAGACCCAAACCCCTACATATACGTAACAAATAAATATTAAGTACTGTCCATCTTGAATATATAACGGAAGGAGGACGCTTGAGAGTTCACAAGGTTAATGCTGTAAGGAATGAATCTATGGCTGAATCTGGATGGTCTGCTACGGATACCACGAAGCCCCCTCCTCCCAGAAGGGAACAAGGAAAACAGGTCATTTTTTTGTCCTAATAGGAAACATTTTACTTTTTAGTTAAGCTATCAGACAGCCCATTACTGGTAAACGCAAATGAGATGGATCCTAGTGCTACAGCCTAAGAAATCATTTTTGTGGGACACCAGACAGTAAGCTTGAAAGCTCCTTCAAAAAAAATTAGGTGCTGTACAACAGAGCTGTATACACCATAGCTGCACAAAAAACAAATCCACACCAACTGCAAGGTAAGATAAAAGACATCAAAACACAATTCCCAAGTCAATCTCCATTATAAACACATGCTTTTGACACTAGTCTTATGTCCCAACCCCAGATAACTGTTATAAATGTGCAATGCGGAGAAACAAGTGTACGCTAGCTTTAGTAACGCACCCAAACAAACATTAGAAGTGAAGCATGTGTTGCCATATGTAGCTTCGGTGCTGGTTTTCGGCATCCAAAAGCACACAATGAACCCTTGGAAGAAAATGGGAGGGTGGCGAGGAAAGGCATCTACCCTTAACACTAAATTCCTCAAGGGTGATTATTAAATGTCCTGACATTTCCTCCTGATAATCTGAGCAGCATTTCCTGGGAATGTGCTAATAATGGACATTTCCAGTCTTAAGCACCAGTTGCCACATCCATTGCCCCTCGGTGTCTAGAGCACTTACTCATTCTTGGTTGCTTCTGAATGGACGAGCGGGAGGATTATAGACCACACCAGTGAACTTTCTTATAGTCAACGTAAAATGTTATTAGTAATCTGGCCACAGCCAAGAAAATAAAGAAAGCGACGAATTAAGCGCTGCCTAATGATGAAGAGGTAATGCGGGGAGCTTCTGCTAGATCTGGAAAGAACCGAGTTGGATTAAAGTAGATTAGGTAAAACAATTAAACGGCTTCCAAAGCTGACACCTTCCATCCAGAAATACAATGGTGTCAGAGTCTTATGAAGCCGACGCTGCTTGCTCCCAGACACATTTTTGAAGCGCACGTTTGAGGAATGCTTTCATTAGTAAACTTTATCCCCAAATTAAAAAAGAAGAATGGTCAGTGCTTATCTACTCCTATTTGGGTACAATGGAAAAGTCCATTCGAGCTACATTAAGTTCCCCCCCCCTTCCCTCGACAAAGGCAATTTTATGTACTTATAGCCATCCTGTGCAAAGGGCGCCTAAGCAATCTTATTTCAAAGAGATAAAATGTGGGAGGTATTTTCCTGGGTCTCCGTGGCAGATCGTTAGCTTTCAACTTTTTTCGTTGGCGGAATGGACAGAAGAGGAACACGGTAAGCAGCAGAGATCCATTTTCATATGTGGCCCTGGTGAAGAACTGTGTAAAGTTGGAAATTACAGCAGCAGCATTAACATGAAAACTGCAGCTGCTTAGCACCGTCCTTCAAAGAATTCCAGAACAGGACACCGGAGTTCAGAAATTTAATCAGTATTAATTGTCAGCTATTAAAAAAAAGGACTTTTAAAAGCACTTACTAGAATTTATTAGGCAGCTAACAGTGAAGACTGTTCTCACAACTAGTGAGAAATTTACTGGCACACATAAGTTTTTATTTATTCAATTAAGTGATTTATCTATCACCAAAATCCCGATGGATATATATATATATATTCTTACATAATGCTGCAAACTAATATGATATTGAGAATACAGCAGAAGTATAATAAACATTGGCATGTTTGTATTTCACTTCATTACTAAAAAAAACAACTGGCTTGCCCATTGATTTAGACTATTTGTATTTATTCAATAAATGGGCTGCAGGATTCTATTGCTTAGTACATAAGCAAGTGTGCAAAATAATTATTTGATATTGTGAAGGAACTAATGAATTCATTTATTATTTTTAGTTTTACAAATCAAGTGATTTGATATTTGTATGTTTTCTTGACATTAAAGACTTAAGATATGAAAATATCTTCATCTTAAAATAAAAGATATGCCCAACGAGTATTATAATATATACCTATAAACAGTCAAATAATTGTGATAAACTTTTATTAATGGATGATAAAAAGAACTGATAAAATCTGATAAAAAAATAACTATAATAAATTGCTCAAAAATCCATTTTGTTATACTCTATTACTTCAAAGAGGAAAAGAAGCAAACTTAGTAGAAAATTACATTAAAAAACTGAAAGGATACATAAAAGTATTCAGCACAAATGTATACATGTTATGAAATGTGACTATACCCCAAAAAATCTTAAACATATATCACCTAAAAAAATAAATAAGCGGGAGAAGTTATTAGTTTATATTCTGAAAGGAAGCTAGTCTATCCAACGTAGGTGAATATTCAGTAAATCTGTAAAAATTACATAGAAATCTACACAATATTATAAGACCTCACATAATTGAAAATTAAGTCATGCTACAAATCATTCTTAAAAATTCTACATTTCCTACTTTTTTCTAAAGAATGTTCCACTAATTTAAAATGTGACTGAGACTTTTGTCAGGGTTTGTCAGCTTTGCCACAAATTCTTTAAGAGCTATCAATCATTAATTTTAGAGTGGAAGATTTGTGAGAACAATATTGGTTTAAAAAAATCAATTTAAAAAAAACTGTATTGTCCAATACCAGCACCTCTAAGCTATTGGTATTCCTCATAAGGAAATAATTTTATGACACAGGCAACCGTGTTTGTGGGAAAAATGTAATACTGTAATTGAAAAATAATACTTGCTCACATACAGGAAGAAACATATATAGGGCTAGAAAATTAAGTACTGTAATGCCAATATTAAGTTTCTGAGAAAGGAGTTGTCTCTGTTTTTAAGGGGTCAAAAAGATTTCTGATAGGTCAGAATAGATGCACAGAATGTACTTAAAACTCTGTCCCATTCCTTAAGTAATTGGCAAAAATCTGCAAGAATTTCTACAAATGGCTATTTATCTTTAGATCAAGTTTCCTTTACTATTTGTATTTTCATGAGACCAGTAATAATAGGATTTGTAGAACATTAATAAAAGTGTTGTTAAAAACAAGAGGCTGACTGGACTACTGTGTACGGTCAGCACAATAACAGAAAAAAAGAAATTTTGATCGATTGACAAAAGATTGAACAAATATTTTTGAACATAAACATTTAATTCTTCCAAATCCAGATAGGTAAGAATCAAGATTTTTTTAAAAAAAATAGAACAAAGCTAAATTAATTGGAGACAAAGTAGCAGCCATAAATTGCAGAACTAAGATGTGAGTAACAGTATAACACTTATAAGTCTTAAATTTCCTTTAGGCTTGCACTACCAAAAAGGAAACAGTTACCGAGAAATTAAATGCCCTTTTGTTTGTCTGTTTGTTTTTATTAATGATTCTCTACTTGGAATGATCTCCCTTCTTAGATTTGTAGCAAATAAAATCAGTGCCCTAGCTGAGCATTGCTCTATTCAGTATGAAGCATGTCTGCTTTGCAGAAACATTTTAACAGAAATTTACGTTAACTCTTGCACAAAACACATAAGGGAACTATGTTCACCAAGGTATAGTTATTGCTATGCCAACTGGTCCATAATTGGGGAGGCTCAAGATTCCTTACTTAACCTCAAAGCTAAGTCATTTTCTCCTAAATCAGGGTCTTTTACAGTACTTCTTAAGGTTTAATAAGGATGAAAGGAAGAGCAGAAATGGTATGTGTCTGCCTCCAACTTCCTCGGACAAAGTAATATTAAAAATGTCATACAAAGATACAATGGATTGGATTAGTATTTCTAGAATGTGCATTGTACAATTAAATTCACAACTTCGGCAACTTGTGCAGAATGCTGGAAATCCCAATGATATCTGTATTGCATATATTTAAACCAAAACGCAAGCATCTAGATGTATATTTTAGGCTAAAATTCAGGTGATGGTAAAATAAAATCTGACACCATTTCTTTTAATTTTAAATTTAAATTTTAAAATGTGTAAATGCATCCACGGGTCACCTTCAGTATGACTATTTGTGATTTTATGTGGAATTTAGCAGTTCAGCAAAAGTTTCTAGACTAACAAAGGCGGGGGGGAATCTGAAGCTGCTAATTTCGGTGTTTATAGGTTTTCTTTTACCAAGACATTGCACAAATCAATTCTAACCTTGTAAATTACAAAAGCAAAACCAGACAAATCCCCACTCAAAATGAGAAATAAAACAAAAAACCTTTAGTGTTTTTATTGTTGTTTTTTTTCATATCCAGCAATCTGCAAAATTTTAAAGTGAGTTCTAGTATACTATACTGGATTTCTCCCCCCCCCCCCCAAATAAGACATCAACTTTCACTTGTTTCTTCATGCTTGCATAACAAAAACACTTAGCATGGCATAACATGGGGTCTTCTTACAGGATGGCAACAGAATAAATTGACAATTCAGGACACAAGCATCTGAATCTCTTCTGCTCGTGATAGGCATCTCCAAAACCTAATTTCAAAAGTTAAATTGTCTATTAAGGAGATAACAGGAATTAAGAGTATCGAACCAAAATATTTATATCATTTCACATACTGATAATTGTATTTATTTTCTTTC